ATACCTAAAGTATTTGCGATTATATTTGAATTCAAGTGTGGAATGTATATATTTAATGAGAAATGTGGTGTAACGTTATGTTACAAGATATTTAAAGTAGCATGAAAATGACAGCTGACACTTTACTACTGACAACAAATTTTTTAAACATAGCGATAAACTTATGAGCTGATATAAATATGTATATAATAATAGTACTAAGAAAAAAGGTTTCGTTGGAATTAGTCATAAAAATTTATACGAAGATTGGTATCGAAAGACAACAGCTGACATCTGCCACATAATTAATAACAACAAATGGGATGACGTTACAATAAATGTTGGACAGTACTAGGAGCTTGAGACCTAGGGACTCTCGCTCTGATCGAGTGAGCTTCGAGAGCTCCCAGTTCACCTAAGCAGTGATTTCCGGTAATTAGTGAAAAACACAATTTATAACTGACAACTGATTAGTGACAAATGACAAATGATACAATAAATCATAATATAACTGTTGCGATTGAATAACAAAGTAAACATATAAAGATTTAGAGAAAGTTATACAGAAAATCAAATGTATTCAGAAAACATAGCTGGTGAGGTTGACAGCTGACAAGTGATATATGACAATTATTAGCGCTTAGTGAGTGCTTAGAAAGAAATTATACGAATATACTTATAAGCTTAATTATTATTTTTCTATACAAATACAATTCACAATATGTCATATTAACGACAGTTGACTAATGGCAACTAACAACCAATTAATTGATTAAGAAATGTAAAGCACCTAACGACAATAAAAAGTTATTACAGAACAAAAATGTTTATGCATATCTCATACTACATTAGAAGAGAACTGATAGCTGACAAGTGTCGGATGCAGTTATGAATAATTAATTAGTTGAACTAAAGACATATGTATAAGTGAAGTTATTAATAGTTTCAATATAATATTTCTACAAAAATACAATTTCAATTAGTCATATTAATGACAGTAACGAGTGAAAACTGACAACTTATATAATAAAATGCTGAGATTGATTAGTGAAACTAACGAACACAAATATTTCAAAGAAAGGTGTAAAGAGCATCAAATTTATTTATATATAAGCTAAAGCTGGTGGAGTTAATAGCTGACAAGTGACAGAGGACAACTGACAACTAATATTGTATATAACTGTTAAAGGTTAGCTGACCGTTGTTATAATTAATTTCAGGCATTAAAGAACATTTAAATAAAGCTATTTATAGTTTCATATAATCTTTTATAAATTACTAAATTTGTAAATATTTATAAATACCAAATATAAATGACAGCTGACTAATGACGAATGTCAAACAAAACTAAATGAGTACTTTAAAGGATAGTTTTCAAGTATAATTCTTACCTTGACTATAGCTGAATAAGAGACAAATTGCTAGGAATTAACTTCCGCGTTAAAATGCACAAATATGAAGATCTATGAACATATTTAAAGCCTCCGCATACTTCTTCTTTATAAATGTAAATATAAATATTTGAGCTTGTTTCTTATCATCTCCTTTTATTATATTAGTTTTTTCGTATTTACTTTATCGTTGTGTTATAAATAAAAGCAGGCGTGTTGCAAGAAATAACTTAAACAAAGCATACCCATGGCGTTTAATAGCATGTATTTACATTAATGTTGCTGCACATAGCGCTTACAACAACAGCAATTTAAGCAGTGTTGACAGAGAAGCAGCAAATGATAATGCTATACAAGCACATACACACACCAAAAGAACACTGATATGTATACATTATTGTTATAAGTAAATATAGAGATGTATATATATTATATATACCTACCCGCATGCGTGCGTCTTTCTAACAATCATGAGAGCAAGTGTAAATTTTCAGGTTTCTATCGTTGTGTGCAAAGCAAACGAAGCGTAAAAATACTTAAGTTAGGTGTGCAGCAAAATTGAAAATTTTATCATTTAAATTTGTCTACCACAAGCAAAAAAATAAAATTGTTAAGACTTTTGAATTTACTTAGCCTTCAATTCGCACGCAATGTGGTAATTACATGCTGTCTTCATAACAATTTTTGTCATGATATTTTTATAAACTGCAAAGAGAGCTATTTGTAATTTTTCACTTTACTTAATTGTTTTGTGCGATTCGCATTTAAATATAATTCTTTCTTATACTTGCCTTAAGTACGTTAGAGTAAAAAGTAGAGGATACAGAGTGTGCATTGCACTTTTAATTTTAGCTTTGTCTTCAAAATCTAACAATAATTAATAAGATGCGAGAGTCTCTTAATTCAATCTTCCTCACAGCAGCTGTTGTCAAAACATGAGTACTTCTTGATAGCCTGATACCTCCTGACTAGATTGAAATAATTTACGATTTCTTGTGCGACTTTTTTTAAGGCAAAATAAGTTTCATAAAATGTGATATTACAGATGAATGCCCACTAGAATTCTAAAATCAATAAGCTTAAAAACATCTCTAAATTCTTCTAAATATTTCTGGTACAAATAAAGACTGCTCGAAATGATTTCGAACGACTGTACTGAATACCTAGAACTCTAGTCAAAACTGTATAAGATATCCAAACTTCTCTGTGCAATTTAGCAACGATATATAATAGAATAACGTGCGCCTTTTGAAAATAAAAAGAACAAAAGGAATAAATTTCTTAGAAAGATATCGTTGGGAAGTGATTATTTTATTTGTAGAAAGGCATGTTCCTGACATCATTTTTATCAAGCCGGAATATTTCGTTCAACATCTTGTTTGAGCCCAAAGATCATCAGTACGCCGCTAAAGTGAAAGTGATCATAAATATAATGGTGGAAGATTCTCCGGTTCAAACAATTTCGAAAGTGCAACCTCTCGGTATAAGGTGTCTACAAGATTTTGACACATTGTTTGCGTTGAAAGAGCATAAATACCTTTAGTACATAAATATTTAGACTAGAGACATCATAAAAACAATTTTTATTATTATTGAGCCTTAAGTATAGCCTTTTTGAACTTGTGGAAAATACTGTGATTCTTTAATGTGGATTTATGAGTTAGTCGAATATTATCGCTTCTAATTTAACCTAAAATAGTAATTCTTAAGTAATTATTTTATAGATTATTTATTTTTAGATAGACTTTATTTTGAGTTCTTAGTGTTATGTAGAGTGACAGAATCTGTATTTTCGACCAAAACTTAAAAGTTGCTCATAAAAATCGTTGAAAATGTTTGGGCAACTTCAAAATTTGTTAATTCTAATAGTAATATCAACGAATCTAATTCAAATACAGATTGAAAACTCGAGCAGTATACATATATATTTTGGACCTAGTCTTTTGACTGACTTTGTATATACATAATTTCTTACTTTACTTGTATGTGAAATTTTCTTGGTTAAATATATATTCTTTAAATAAATGAACCGCTTATTAGAAAATAAGTCAACTCGTCGTGCCAGTACAAAATCATTGCTTTTGTTGAAGTTGTGGTCGACATAGAAGCACTTGTTTCAATTAATTTAATGCAGCATACTTTAAGCTTTTATTTACCTTTTCATTACCTCTACATAACTGAAAATAGATAATTCAGGCGTAGTCACACGAGTTGTATCTTAATGCCGTCATTTTGAGCTGAGTGCATTTGTTGATCATTGCCAGAACGAGAGAGGCATAAAAGTAAAGAGTAATAATTATATTATTTTATGCATTGTGTATGCTTGTGTGTAATGGGGAAAGTATGTAATGAGTACCAGTATTTATATTTTATGAGTGATTAAAGATGATAAAAAAAATGTAAATGTAAATGTTAAGTTTTGATGTATTTTGCAAACATACTTGTAGAAAAAAACTAAAATAAAACACTCTATTTATAAAATTTCTGTAGTTCTTAAATCCAAAATAATTTTATCATCAGAATTTGTAAATCTCAAATCTTGAGCCTAACTTCTGTAATTAAGAATACTTTATATAGCTTTGGTTTCCATAGCAATTTTAGACTCTTTATTACTTGAAATTTCTGAGTCTTCTCGGTGAATTGAACTTTAACCTAAGTGAATGTCACAATCGCCTCTAATCTTTAGCAAAACATATATATGATATCTTTAATGATGGACTAAGCAGTTTGGGCATACAGCTATAATGAATTGCAATAGATTAAGATACTGGAGCTGAAAATTAATTATTGGATTTTTAAAGAAAATCTCAATAAGCAAAAACCTTTCAATAAGTAGTAGCACACTTCTAATAGAACACTTTAATATACCAAAAGTAATACTCCTGAATCGATGTTAATAAGATGCTATCTCCTTTCGACTGTTTACTACTGGATACATCTGCAAGTTCAGTAGCTCGATACAGATATTAAAAATATCTCTCTTATTACCATAGAGTGCTAATCAATATATTTAAAACCGCTCTTCGTTAATAATTTTCATTTTCAAATTTATTTCGAATACTTATATGTATGACAAATATTTTAAAATACATATTGTAAAGCACATATCTTTCTTGTAAATATATTAAAAAATATTCTTCAAAGCATAAAATTTAGTATTATGAGAATATATCTCAAAATTTGTTATGCAAATTAGTATGAAAATATAGCCACACAAAAATACCTTTGAAAACATGCTAATATTTAATTTCATTTTGTACAAAAAGATGTAAAAAATTATATAAATTTCAACGAAATATTTCACGTGACTATTGTCTGGCATGTGTATAAAATTTTGCAATAAAAGATATGTACATATATTATAAAAAACAGTGTAAAAATACATAAATACAAGGAGGTTGAGACTAAGCCCTATGACGTGGACTTGCATGGAATAAATGGTGCCTTTGAAACTCAAAACAAACCACAAGCGCATCCGAAAGCTACAAGGCTACATAGCTACACACAACAACACAATATATAATAGTGTATGTGCATGCGCGATACATACAGTCACTGAGTGAATTGCCAAATGAGTTTGGATACTGAAATATTTCATTTCCTTTACTTTCATTGAATATTAAATTCTAGTCACAGAATTCGGCGACTGACACGCTTGCTAACGGATAAATGGGCAACGCATCATGTGCAACACACGGCCGTAGAAGCTGGCGCAGCACGACATGCCGCGCTGAATATAGCGGCAGCAAAAGTGACCACATTGCGGTGCTTGCACACCAGCTGGCAGCAGCGCGGTGGAGGCGGCGCTGATGGCCAAATCAAGCGCGCCACTGGCTGCATCCGACATCCAGCCACTCGACCGGCCTCACCCTCAGTGACGCCGCCCAGCGCCACACCGCTGGCGACCACGCCCATAATGCCACTAGCCGCTAGCGCTACAGGTCTCTTCAGTACCACCACCACCTCGGCGACAACACCCACGCCCTCGATCGCATCGTCGGCCTCATCATCCTCGGCATCGGCCACCGCTACAACACTGTCGTCGGCTACGCACTTGCAACAACAATTGCAGCAGCAACAACAACAGCTGTTGGCCAGCGAGGAGCTGCGTCGCAACACTTTCTATCGCACGGTGTGCGCGAGCCTTCAGAGCGCCATATTGCTGCTGGACATGGACACGGGCGAAATCAGTGACTACAATGAAAGGTCAGAGCAGCTGGCGTAATGCAAGTGTTTGCATGTATCTGTGTGTGTATATGTTTGTTTTTGCTCCCACTAAATAGGCCATAAAATATTAAAACGTCGTTGCGAGTGCACGCCAAAGTCAAAGCGCCAGTAAGTATGTCAAGCGAGGCGTGATTGGGACGCTTCTGCAAACAAGTGTTATTGAATTTTTAATGAAATGTCTCCATGTGCTGGCTTAATTGATGCTAGCGCACGCTGTTTGCTGACACTAAGCGGAGGTTGAAATTAAAAATTCAGCGTTGACAAAGCCTTGCTTTGAAGAATGACTTTAAATTACTACAGAGTAAAATGTTAAACAAAAGTTAAAGAGAAGCATTTGCAGGCTACAAAAGCTATAAAAGGTAGAAATAAATCTAAATCAATGTAAGAGTTAATGACAAAAGTTTAAGACGTGAAATGATTTGGTGGTCTAAAGCGATTCAGGCCTGAGGATTCAAAAACTCTATTTGCCACTGCAACCGCTCTCCTCTTTTCCATGACATTTTTGTCCTTTTTTACTCTCACACTAATTAAAAGTTTTAAAATAGACTGAACTCTCTCCTCCTCTCCGATTTGCAACTGGCAGTGCAATCAGAAGTCTTCCTATAGTAGGTACTGAGCAACACTGAGCAGTTCTGTTTGAGCTTTCATTTGCCTTACCAAATCCATAGTTCTGTCTCTATACCTGTCTACCACACAGTGTTTTATCAAGCTCCAAGTGTTTAAGAAGATACTCGTATTTTCTTAAGTATGGAGTCCTCGATATTCAGGAGTTTTTGTCAATATCAGGTTAATATTATAATATCAGTATCTGAAATATCTAAAGTTTGAAGTATCGAGTAAAAACTATACGTACCTACATATATAGCGCATTGAGAAGATATACTAGTCTATGAAAATTTCAACTAAGACTTTCTAGCACCAAGACCCATTTCTACTTAGTATCCAGTGTGCTTAGAACTTCAGGTTAATGTTAGTGACGACTCTCGACAATTTAGAGCCCATGCAACTATATCAACGTCAATAATATACTTGTAGAACTAAATTTGGATTTATGTAAAGGTTAAAATATTAAAAAAGTACTCAAGAAAAGTACTGAACATTTTTCTAACCACAATATAAGTTTTGGAGTGCGGAAACTCTTGGTGAGAGTGTCATATAAGGTAGCAGAATCTAACTTACGGCTTTCTTACCAACTTTGAGATGTTCACATTGATCCGATCGGAGCTTTTAGTATCAGCGTACTAAAGCTTTACTGTATATACCAAGAACAGAATTGTTTCTAGGTGAGCCGATAAATTTAAGTTTCTTTCTGACAAAGGTCAAACACTGACAGAATATTAGTTTTACAGTTCTCTCTCAGTCGTTTTTCTCAAATATTAACGGCTTCATTCAGCTATTAGTCGATGGTGATATAAATTTATTTATTGTGATACCTCTTTCTTTAAAAATTTCTCTGTAGCATCTCAAAATAAATTCATATTCAGGCCGATATCCTTCGTTGCTAGTGCCTTTAAACTGTAATATAATTATTTATAATTATCTTTGTGTTCAATAAATAAATAAATCAAAGTCATCTTCTGACAAATAATTTTTTAATTGGCTCAGTTTGAAGTCAGCGGTCTCGAAGTTGACTTAAGTTAGTTCTTGCCTTTAGTTTATGGTGACAATTTTGCATTAAGTTCGTTCGAAACTCATATAATGTAAAGAGAGCTTATCCACTTATTCGAGATCCCTTACAGAATACTAAAAGTTAGATTTGATACCAGAGGTCTTAAATCTCATTCATAATAAGTACGACAACACATTCGACCAGCTATGTATCCATGTATGATGTGAAGAAAGTCAAGCCACCAAGAATTGCAGACGGATAGCTTAAATTGCGTCTGTACCAGGAGATCAACTTGCCAAACTGTTGCATGGACTTGGTTATTTTAGTATAATACATTATTTAAGTGCTCCACTTGAAACTAGCTCTCCAATGACAGTAAACAACTTTTTGAAAGGCCTCTTCTCTTTTCGTAGGTTCCAACCCCAGCATTGTAAAATGATTTCAAGATTTCGCCAATACAGGTTCGAAATACCAGCTGCAACAGCACCCATATTTATGTATTGAAATATTATATACGGTTGGAATATCCGAGCTTGAGCTCCATTCTATGGGAATGTTTTTTTAGAAGAAGTTTATTTTACATTTGAATTATCTATGTGACCCAACTACATACAAAGTCCTAGCATGCCTATTTGCAAACCCTTATTAGCGGTATCATTGAGCTGGTTGGCACCTCCTTGCCCTTGCCTTTAATCCGTATCGTAGCGGCAAAGTCGACGCCAAAAACGTAAATTTCACTCAAATTGTAAATGCAAGTAAAAGTTTACAGTTGCTGATTGTCAGTACAAATTCGCTCTTTACTACAAAATTTTGCACTTCAGTGTGAGTCCCTTTACATTTCCTACCCGCCGTTTTCTTCCACCCACCGTTTCAATCATTTTTCTCTTCCAACACTTCATTTTCCAAATTTCTTTACTACATTTTAGAAAAAAAATGAATTAACTGTAAATTAAGTGCGACAAATGAAACGTTGAATGTTCAGTGAGTAGTCCCTTGAGCGGTGTCTTGGCTTGCAGTCCCTAAAGCAGTCGCAACACCGTGACAGCATGCGAAAATGAAAAATACAAAAGAAAAGAACGACTTTTAAGTCAAAAATAAAAACTAAAAGTATAATGTTAATAATATGCGAACATTGTGTGCAGGAAGGACTTTTTTTTTGCGAACAACGTAGAATGTATTGCATTCTAGTGAGTGAGACTGACGCTTCCTGCGCTGCAAATTAATTGGATGGTAGTGGAAACGTAAGCAGTGGCTCTGTGGTGTCCTTTGATTTCTACGCCACCGTCCGACGGCTTAACAAGCTGTAATTATTTTAATTATACAATTGTGTTAGCCGCGAGTGAGTGTCCGGCTACCATGTTGGCCTCATTTTTGTTACAGAAATATGAATCAGAGATGTTGAATTAAAAATGAGTATTGAGGAGAGTGGCTGTACTAGCTGAGCTAACAGCTATGTAGCTGATTCCATATTCATTTTTAAGTAGATCTGACATGAACCAAGTAATTTGGATACATATAAATCTACAAAGTCTGCACAATAAACCGGACAGCAATCGTTTTTGTTTTTGTAGTAGGAACTAGCCTAGCATTATCTCACAACTCAGACGATACTTATTATTTTGATGAAGTTGTTCCTTAGTGCTCAGAAAGTAAGTAGCATTAGACAAGCTTACTATCATTGGTCTCAAGAAAGTTCGTCTCAGTTGATGGCAGCTACATTTTACTGACGCAATGACTTTTAACTAAAATAACAATTCCAAGAAAAATGTCTAACTGAAATTTCAACTACACTGAGCTTGTCTCTTCGAACAGTTCTAAATGTTCTAAGTATGTTCTAAAATTGTCAAAGTATTTTTAAAAACCACTTAAAAAAATCGTAAGAAATATGGTTGGATACGCGTCATTGACTTTTGAAGGATTAATTCTACAAATTTGTCTTAGTCAAGTTAGCAACCCACATCTTACCAAAATTTAGTTGAGTTCTCAACCCACTTAAGCAGTTTACAATACATATTTCGATGTTTTCGATAGTTATTGGCTGTGGAAAAAAACACATAAATAGACGCTTAGAGTATGTTTTGCTTCTAATATTTATTTTGTAAAGATTGCCAGAAGGTCTAGAAACTAGATACATTTTATTTACTCCTCTCACAGTTACTTAGTGAGAACCAATAATTTGCCTAAGTCTATGTCATTAATATCGAATTAATAATAATAAACCCAACGATTACCTTCCTCCCGCCCAACCGACGCGAGGGGCGCAATCCGCATACGTGCGGAATTAGCCGAGTCAGAAAAGGCAAGAGAGTTTTTTAAGTGTTGAGATCTAAAATACAGCTACAGAAACAAAATTTCAACAGCTAAGATCTAAAGTTACAATAAATAAATGTTACATTTTCATTTATTAGGAGAAACAATAAAGTCTTTTAATTTTGAAAGTGAGTCAGATAAGTCAAATGTGTGAAGAATTAAAATCATGGACATATACGGCGGAATGGCTCGTTAGTTCAAAATTTGATCTGCGATTTAGCAGTAAAGGTTCAACTGCCTCGAAAGGCGAACCTATTAAATTTAATTTCAGACAGGAGAAAAGAACTGCAGAAATTCATTCAAAAGTTTCACTAAGAATATTATGTACATTTCACTGACTATAAAGTGTAGGTAGATTAATAAGTTTAAACGACTTGTATGGAGGTAGACTTACCTAGATCCCATCGAAATGCGCTAAGGCGAAAAGTAAAATTAATGTGAACGACTCTAACTTGTCAAATGGATTGTAGTAGGGTTCCATACCACAGAGCCATATTCCAATATAGGTCTAACAAAGTTGTATGTATATACGGATCTAAATCTTTAGACCAACGTTTAACAAACTGAGGATTGCTATCAAGACCATGGTATTAGTTAGACTGAATTTGCTAGATATTACTCACAAATCAACAAGTTATAAAATCTGTTTGAATATGGAAAGTTTATTATAGCAAAAGGTACGATCTACGGAAAAGCATATCGCACATTTATTGAGATTCAGGCAATCATTCTATCACACATGCAACCAAAGTTTGTTCGCACGACACCTTTCCAGTTGAAGTGTATATTTAAAAGCTTTAATCGTTGGTGTAAAAAATTGAGAATTCTATACTGATATACGACAAACAACAGGAAAAATGGGCCAGATGACTACTTGCGGAAACGAAGAAACATAATGTATCAAAGTGTATCCTCAACACTACGGTCTATTGTGAAGATAAGATGTACATTGAAGGAATTTGCGAAAGCCACCAGATCAAGTAGTAAGAATGAGATATTTTTTATCGAAAGCGCTAAAGTCGTATATAACAGATTGCGTTATGTTTCCTAAGTAAGTTTAGAATATTCCTTACGAAACT